CCTTCCAAAATCTTCACCAAGGAAAAGAGTACAGAATCATCACCTAAGTTACCTAGTCATTGTTACTGGGTTCCTCATTCTTCAAGATAGAGATGTTGAAGATGTGAGCTCCAGCCTCCTGGTGATCGCTGTCCTCTGTGGCAATGAGTGCGTGAGCCTCCTTAGCCATCTCTCTAGCTCTGGAACGAGTGATCCTGCCAGCTACCTCTGGTTCCTCCTCCTCTGAGCTGGTCACGATCATATCATCCTCTCCCTCTTGAAAAGGATTTGTCCTCAAATCTGAATCTGCAACATAAGGAAGCAAGTCAGAAACATTGAAAGCATCAGAAACGTCATACTTACCTTGAAGATCAATCTGATAGACGTTGTTGTTGATTCTTTTGATGACTGCGAATGGTACATCCACTCTGGGCATTAGCTTGTTCTTTCGTTCAGCTGGAAATCGCTCCTTCCTCAGATGGATCCACACCAGATCGCCTTCTTCAAAAATCAGCTCCTTTCGTCCTTTGTTGGCATGCTTCTCATACTGCTTTGTCTTTTTCTCGATATTCTCCTTAGCCTTAGCATGAATTCTTCTGACCTGTTCAGCTTTCTCCTTGCCATTCAAACTGCATTTTCCACTTAAAGGCAAAGGGATCAAGTCTAGAGGTGATTGTGGATTAAACCCATATACAATTTCAAAAGGAGAAAAGAGAGTAGCAGAATGCTTAGCGTGATTGTAAGCAAACTCGACATGAGGCAGGCACTCTTCCCATGTCTTGAGGTTACTTTTCACCAAAGTCCTTAGAAGTGTGGACAACGTTCTATTCACCACCTCGTTCTGTCCATCAGTCTGAGGATGACACGTAGTTGAGAATGAGAGCTTTGTTCCCAGCTTAGCCCAAAGCGTTCGCCAAAAGTGTCCTAAGAACTTCGTGTCTCGATCTGAAACGATAACCTGTGGCATTCCATGCAGTCGTACTACTTCCCTGAAAAACAAGTTAGCTACATTCACAGCATCATCTGTCTTGTGGCTAGCGATGAAGTGAGCCATCTTGCTAAACCTGTCAACAACTACAAAAATAGAATCTCTACCATTTCTGGTGCGAGGTAAGCCAACTACAAAATCCATAGAGATATTAGTCCAAGGTTGAGAAGGAATAGGCAAAGGAGTATACAAACCGTGAGGTTGAACTTTACTCTTAGCCATCTTACATACGACACATCTAGAGCAGATTTTCTCAACGTCCTTCTTCATGTTCGGCCAGTAGAAGTGCTCTTGTAGCCCAAGAAGTGTCTTTGTGACACCGAAATGTCCAGCTAATCCACCTCCATGAGCTTCTCGTACCAGTAACTCTCGAATAGATCCTCGTGGTATGCACAATCGGTTACTGAAGAACAAGTATCCATCCTGTCTATAAAATTTCTCACAGGCAAACTTATGACATTTCGCATAGCTCTCAGAAAAGTCAGTGTCAGATTCATAAAGATCTATAATATGCTCAAATCCAATCAACTTTGATGTTAAAGTCGAAACAAGAGTGTACCTCCGGGATAATGCGTCTGCGACCACATTATCTTTACCTTTTTTGTACTTAACAATGTAGGGGAATGTCTCAGTGAACTCCATCCATCGCCCATGTCTTTTGTTAAGTTTCTGCTGACCCTTGAGGTGCTTTAGAGACTCGTGATCGGTATGAATGACGAATTCCTTAGGCCATAAGTAATGCTGCCACGTCTGGAGAGCTCGAACCAATGCGTATAACTCCTTGTCATACGTGGGATAATTCAGCGTTGATCCTCCTAACTTTTCGCTGAAGTAAGCGACGGGCTTCTTATCCTGCATAAGAACTGCTCCAATACCTACACCAGAAGCATCGCATTCAATCTCAAAAGTCTTAGTAAAATCAGGAAGTACTAGTAAGGGCGAATTGATAAGCTTCTCTTTAAGGGCTGTTAAAGCCTGTTCTTGCGCCTCTCCCCACTTGAACCCCACGTCTTTCTTGATTACTTCGGTTAAAGGCGCGGCTATGGTGCTGAAATCACGAACAAAACGCCTGTAGAATCCTGCTAAGCCATGGAAACTTCGGACTTCTCCAATATTCTTGGGGGTTGGCCACTCCTTGATAGCTTTTATCTTCTCTTCATCTACTTTAACTCCTCCTGCACTTACTACAAAGCCTAAGAAAACAATCTCGTTAGTGCAGAATGAACATTTAGATAAATTAGCAAAGAGAGATTGAGAGCGAAGAACATCAAGAACCGATCTGATGTGATCTAGATGTTCTTCCAAACCTTTACTGTAGATGAGGATATCGTCGAAATAAACCACTACGAACACGCCAATGAATGGTCTCAGGGCATGGTTCATTATTCTCATGAAGGTGCTGGGAGCATTGGTGAGGCCAAACGGCATAACTAGCCACTCGTAGAGTCCCTGCTTTGTCTTGAATGCCGTCTTCCACTCATCCCCTTCCTTCATTCTGATCTGATGATATCCACTCTTCAAGTCGATCTTAGAGAAGATTGTCGACCCACAGAGCTCATCCAGCATATCATCTAGCCTTGGGATCGGATGCCGATACTTCACAGTGATATTGTTGATAGCTCGGCAGTCTACACATCCTCCAGGAACCATCCTTCTTTGGCACCAACAGAACTGGAACCGCACATGGACTCAAGCTTTCTCGGATATGGCCTTTGCTCATCAGCTCCTCCACTTGCTTTTGCAGCTCCTTAGTCTCTACAGGGTTGGTTCGGTATGCTGGCCTGTTAGGTAAGGCTGATCCTGGTACCAAGTCAATCTGATGCTCTATCCCGCGAATTGGAGGTAGCCCTGGTGGAATTTCTACTGGAAAAACGTCCTTGTATTCCTGCAAAATCTCAAACATAGCACTAGGAAGCTCCTGTGAAGGGTTAGTACTAACAAGGGATTCCTTGTACACAAACATAAAAGTAGTCATTTCAGGATCAAAGAGTTTAGAAAATTCACTGTGGTTTATGTAGAGGCTGTTGGCGACTTTCTCCTTCTCCTTGAGCTTCATTTGAACTTGATCTTGATAAATCTCGGTAGGCGTGAGAGGTAGGAGGGTAATTTTGCGACCTTTGAACTCGAATGAGTGCTTGTTGGTGTAACCGTCGTGTATCACCCTACGATCTGATTGCCACGGTCTGCCTAGCAACACATGACTCGAACCCATGGGAATGACGTCACATAGAATCTCATCTTCATACTTCCCAATGGATAGAGAAACCCTCACTTGCTGAGATACGGTCAAGGCTCCACTGTCATTCAACCACTGAAGCTTATACGGCCTTGGATGAGGAATAGTCTTGAGCTGGAGCTTCTTAACCATCTCTTCGCTTGCAGCATTAGTACAACTTCCTCCATCTATGATCAGGCTACAAACTTTTCCTTGAATGAAGCATCTCGTATGGAACAGGTTCTCTCGCTGACAAGTCTCTTCAGGTTGACTCTGAACACTCAAAGTCCTTCTGGCAACCAGCATCTCGCCCACAGCAGCAGCTTCTTCCTCTTCCTCTAATTCATATTCGGCCTCTGAATCCTCTTGAGGAACTATCTCTCCTCCCTCATGTAACAAGAAAACCTTCTTGTTTGGGCAATCTCGAGAGTAATGTCCCATTCCTTGACATTTGAAACACCTCACATTGCTGATAGAAGTGCCACCTCGAGGCTTGAACTCAGCTTTAGCTTCTTCTTTAACTCCAGTAGATGGCGGTTTGATGTCTCTGGAGTAAGCTGGCTTGCTGATCTCCTTAGGCTTAGGCACACTAGGCGTGAATGTGGACTTGAAATTTCGCCTCTTAACTTGAGATTCCACCAATTCAGCCTTATGCACCATCTCTTGTATATCTGCGAAATCCTGAAGTTCCACCTTGTCTTGAATTTCTCGGTTAAGTCCTCCAAGAAATCTTGACATTACCATCTCTTCGCCTTCTCGTAAATCTGCACGAATGAGCAAAGTTTCCAATTCTTGATAATAATCTCGAACAGACTTCGTACCTTGGACAAGGCGCCTAAGCTTGTTGAGTATCTCGCGCTGATGATGGGCCGGAACGAACCGCTTCCTCATCTGTATAACGAGCTGCTCCCAAGTAGTAATTGGAAGTTCCCTCAAGCGATTTCTGGTGACTCCCAACTGCTCCCACCATAGAAGCGCATACCCATGAAATTCCGAAACTGCAATCTTCACCTTGTTGAGCTAGTAAGTTCCTTGGACCAGAAAATTAGACTCCATCTTCCTTTCCCAATCTAAATAAGCTTCGGGATCATTAGTTCCATGGAAAGGAGGATACTGGATTTTGATATGACGCAGCTGCTGTCGTAGAGGATCATAATCTCGACCATGTCCTCGGCCTCGATCTCGTCTCACAGTTTCTCTGCTATGATCAGAAGCTTCGTCCTCCTCATAGTATTCTGGGTCTGATTCCAGGGTAACTCGATGCCCAGCAATATATTCCTCTCGGCGGTGCTGACGATCTACCCTTGGGCCATCTCGTTCTGCACCAGTAGGATTCCTCCTCGGATTAAACGTAGTCTCTCTGCCCCCAATCTGGCTTCGACTGGACTTAGCTTTAGTCCTGGCTTCGGAAGGTGTTAGGTGGCGTGGAAGTTTCCGGGAAGATCCTATGTGCCCTTTACCCTTTGCTAAGCGCATTGCTTCCGAAGGAGTTGGAGTTTGAGATGACTCTTCTCCACTTGCACTGAGGTCTTTGAGCAGATCAGTCATCTTCGTCTCGAACTTGTCATTGAGTTGTTCGATTTGTTGTGTGAGCTGAGTTGCTATGGCCTGATTCGCTTCTTTAATTTGTTGAGACATTGCTCGGTTCAGAGCTTCCATCGCCTCAGCCGAAAGCTCCATGGTACCTGAAAATTTTTAAAAAAAAAACTCGCAGTAACTTGTTCTAGAAGAAATCACAAAAACAGCAAAACTAAACTCATGATAAAAAAAAAAATTAAACGATCCCCACGAAATCTAAAAACAAACTTAACGAAACTAATGAAATTTAACGAAATTGTTGGGGAGAGTGGACACCTAGACCTGGGGATTCAGAAGCATGCCAAGGTTGGAGAGGTCCTGGCAACAGTTCGAAGAAGGCGACATCACCAACATACACTCAATGATATCGAGCTGGAGATACACAAACTGAGACAGAGTGGGACTGACGATGAGGATGTAGCAAAGTGGAAAGCAAGAGATGGAAATTACAAAGCAAAGTTTGTCACTAGGGATACTTGGTATCAAATCCGAACTGCAAAGCCCAGCGTAAATTGGTACAAAGGAGTTTGGTTCTCACAATCCACTCCTAAGTACACATTCATGTCTTGGCTTGCTTTTCAAAATCGGTTAGCCACTGGAGAAAGGATCGCCACATGGAACATAAATGCCAATACAGGGTGTGTGCTCTGTAACGAACCAATAGAGACAAGGAACCACCTTTTCTTCTCTTGCTCTTACTCGATGAAGGTCTGGGAACAGCTGGCGAAAGGTTTGCTGAAGCATCGATTTGTATCTGATTGGGAGAGGATTACGGTGCTACTGTTCAATCCTCCATTTGACAAGACAACAACCTATCTGTTTTGATATTCATTCCAAGCTGCGGTCCACACTCTCTGGAGGGAAAGAAATGAACGCAAACATGGTGGAAAGCCTTCCCCATCATATCGGCTTAGAAAAATTATCGACAAAAATATCAGAAATCAACTCTGTTCTCTCAGGAACAGTGGCGTGCTGAAGTATGAAGATGGATTGCAAGTTTGGTTTGACACAAGACAAACCCATACTTGAAGATTTTTTTTTAAAAAAACAAAGCTCTAGTTATTGAAATGTTTGGACTAAAGTTGTAAAAAGTCTTTTTTTTCTTTGAATAATTTAACATTAGATTAAAAAAAAAAAGTGGTCGTGGTCTTTTCGTTGGTGGTCATTTTAGAGGTGGTCGTTGTGGTGGTTTTGGTTTTTGTCGAAGAGGCTGTTGAGGTTTTGGACGTTTCTCATGGAAACAGACCTAGTTTTAGTTTTCAGATAATAAGAGGATCGTTCTTTTCTAAGAACAACAGAAATCTCTTTGGTGTTTCGAATAACATTGTATCACAATGCAATACTTTTTTAGAATTGAAAATAAAATTTATTTATAACAACAACAACAACAACAACAACAAAAATATTTTTTACAACTTGTGCTTTTTTGTTTTGAGATTAGAAAGAAAAATTGAAAAGAAAAATTAAAGATAGATTGCGATTTAAGGGTCTGACTGGTTGAGACTTGAGAGTGAAGGGTTTAGGGGAGATGATAATGATATAGAGTGAAGGAAAAGTAGATATTGAGAGGTAAAATACTCCCACTTGTTTTCTCTGTTGGATAAAAAAAATAACAGAGATCATATTCAAAACCACTTGTATACATTGGTTATGATTTACAACCGAACCAGTGTTGTTTGGTCATTGCCTTGGATATGGGAGTTTGAATGATGTTTGGACTTTAAACAATGACATCTGTAGGAGAGTTTTATTGGGTTCTTGCTGTGATTTGGGTATTTGATCTTGGGATTTTGGGTGAGTCCCACTATCTGCAATGTCAATATCTTGTAACTAGCAATAAAGATCATGTGCCCGTACCATGTGCAGACTACAAATGCTTAGTAAATCAAATGTTAGAATTTCAAAATAATTTATTTATTATATATTTATTGTATTTTTATCATTTTTATTTATTTATACTATATTAGAAATCTGAATGATTTTTTTTAAAAAAAATAGATAATTAGTCACAAATGATAAATGTAAGCAATCGATAAAGTCTAATTTGAGTGAGCCAGTAATTTTCCACCATATCTATTATATGCCATCTCATTGACACTTTCAAATACAAACGTATTGATATGATCTTTATAAAATTTTCTCCATCATAACCCTCAGACTCCACACACATATCTTGCAGATCGATTGTGATTCTTTGTTGTTTCAGAGGTTATGTTGGTAAGTATTTTAAAAAACCATATAGAGAAAAAGAGAGATAGAAACAATGACAGTGTTTTAATGTTGGTGTTTCAATATTTTCATTATCTCCGTTGAGTTGGAGATTGACAGAATCAAAGATTCATCGCATTGAAAATTTTCTCAAAACAAATATTGGCAGCATAAGCCAATTATTTTGTTTAAATATATTATCAATGTTTTTCAATGTATATTTTTTTATTGAATTTTTGTATGAAACTCAATCCATAATTTTATCCACAGTTGCTCTTTATATAATAAAAACAAAAAGAATTTATTTGTTCTCTGTGCATGATTTGTCGAGTTTTTTTTTTTTGCTATCATGTGGATCATGCAATAAATCAAAATTATTAGAATCACTAAATTTTTATAGTTAGAAAGTATGAGCTCCATAGCATATACAAAATGTAACTGAAATTTTGAAAATTTATGTAAAATTTAGATTTTTTATATATATACGTTGTTGCCACAATTGATCATCAACATTTACTTTTATTATAAATCTGTGCAAAAATAATATTCAGTATTTATCTTGTGTATATTTGGAATATTTATTAACATATAATATATACTTTTTACATGGTTGACAGCCTTATCAAAGCCATCAAATGTAATATTTTTATCCAAATTTAAGAAAAATCATAAATAAAAGGATTATATTCAGTACAATCTCCCTGAAACAATTCAAAGAGAATCCCATAAAAAAGATGTGATTGGTTCCTTATGTGTGCTTTAATGAAGTTTAGAAACAAAGAATCAAGTTTACAATGAGCGGTAACAACATCAACACTAGACTGCTTTAGACCAAGTAATTTCCTTCTCATTCGATTCCATCATCATGCAGAATACACTAAAAAATAAAAAACCATGAGCTACCAAATATATTAAGAAATGAAATATGTGACTTGAGCCAAAAGATAAAAATATTAAATTGTTATCCCTCGAGAGGCGTCTTCATCATCTTTTGACGTCCTCATGTCTTAAATTCATTATATGTTGTCTCTTCAAAGAGTTGCATACTCTTTGATCGCACTATCTTCCGCATAAATGTCATCCTTTATTTTTCCTCTCTTAAAGTACATATTTTGGACAGATAAAGAGTCGGTAAACTAAACCACTTTTAAACACAAAAATTTTATCTTTAGAGACATGTAGATAGAGAGACACATAGGCTGTAACATGAAGTATACAAGATGAAAAAACATTGATTAATACTCTATTTTTTTCAAATAAAATTTAGAAAGTCATCATATATAGTTATCATATATAGTTAGGAAGACATTCCTAAAATATTTAAATAATAACTTTTATTTCTATTTATACAACAACTGAAATTTTAGAAGCCATCATATACATATAGGAAGGCATACATGTACAAATAATAACTTTTGTGACTATTTATACAACTACTTAATTTTAGGAAGTTATCATTTACATTTAGGAAGAAATTCTTAAAAGATAAATTTCTCTTCTTCTCAATCACACTTGTATATGATTCCATCTGAACATACATACTTCCCCTTCCCATGAGGAAGTGTTCCTTTGAGTTGACCAGACTAAGCAACACCATTTGAGAATTCCCTCTCCAGGCCTGAGGAAATACAAAGTACACTATTGATCTAAGACCTGAGGAAACAAAACAATCACATATAAATGCATTTGGGTTTATGAAAACAATTCAAGAAGACATTTCTAAATTTTTATGAATCAACAAATACAACCCTAGACTAAAATCAAACATGCTTTAAAACCCAATATCCCACAATGCGGCCATCGGAACCTACAAAATTTACCAGTTCGACGAAATTTAACCATTTCCTCGATCTCTGACAAAAAAAAATGATACCCAATCCAACGAAAATCAATTACCAATCAGAAGAACTTACCCTAACTGATGCGCGATGCTTGTTCTTCTGCTCTCAGACCGTTATTGTAATCCCACTCAAATGCTTCAAGAAAATCGATGAAGTTTTCTCTGAGAAAATCATATTAGGTTTTACGAAATTCCGAAGGAGAAAATAGATTAGAGCGTGTTATCTGAGTTTGATGAAGACTATAGTTGTTCCCTTCCAAATGAAGGGCTATATTAGAGAAACTTTAGTTTTTTGGGGCTATTCTAGAGAATTTCACTACTCTTTACTTTTTTCACTTTATCTTTAAATTCAGTTTTCATTGGTATTTTCTTTTTATCTCATCAATTTCTCTCAGTTAAAATTTTAAAGAAAAAGAATTTCAGTGAACAAATTACTCATCGATTTGAATCACCGAGTATGACAAAAAAAATCACCAAATGTGTCCAATGAACAAATTACTTTTCCCAAATACAAAAGTGTTTAATTACTTAGTTTTTCTAGTAATGTTTGTATATCTTAGTATGTCAACAATTATTGAAACTAAATTTGCTCTTGGTTATTATTCTATTTCAATAATGGATGCAGAAACCAGTATTTGTTTCTGCTTTTGGATGCAATACTGTCAATGTTGTTTATTTAGCCAATTAATTTTAATATTTGTGTTTAGATACGCAAAATTATTCGTATGAAAAAAAATCTTGATATATTATATGCAAAACTGTGATATTGTGTTTATGTAGACTTTCAACTTCATGTGGGAATACAGAAATCAAAACTTGCGATGGAGAATCATGTATTAATTATGTTACATAATACTCCAATTTTTGGTACAAGTGAACGGAGATCCACACAGAGGAAAAATATTTCGAGCTCTTAGCAACTTATATCAATGAATTTGACACTTCACAAATAGTTTTATTTTAAGGTTTTGTTTAAGTATATTGATCAGAAAGGAAAAAAACTATTGTGTATAATAATGTAGAACTTTTATTAATTTTTGTAATATATGTAAAATATGCAAAAATAACATTATTTGTGAAACAAAAGAGGCATAGTAATAAAATTTATCACAACCATAATTAACAACAATAGAATTATATTACATACATATAAAATAAAATTAACCAAAAAATAATGATATCTGGGAAATAGGTTTAGGGTTTAGGGTTAAGGGTTTTAGAGACTATCTACGAGTACATAGTATTATTGGTTTAAAGATTTTTTAAAGTAAAATTATTTAGAGATCATTTTTTGGGTACATAAGGTAAGTTTTTGTACGCACAAATTAACAACATTTCTATAAAGGTATATATGGTAGGATATGAAAAAAAAAATAATAAAAAGAGAGAACTGGAAGAGAAAAAAGAATATAATTGTATTCAATAATATCTTTGTTATGCATTTAATTTTATAATCTTTTGTTCACATTCATAGCACTTAATTCCTCTAAAATATTTTGTTAAAATAGAATAGTCAACATGGCAAAAATCATAAGGATAGTGAAAGACTGACAGAGTATTTACATAAAATCTAAAATACTTTTATTATATGGAAAAAAAATCCATGTCATTTCCTAGTTTTGACTAAGTGCCAAATGCTCTGCAATGATTTTTAAAAAATGCCCTATAGTAAAATTCCTCCAATAAATCTCATTTTGAATAGATATTACCTTATGAATTGCTGCTCTATTCTACGTTTTATTTAGTTTCTCTATAAGGTCAAGACTCAAGACCAACA